GTATATGTCTAATGGAATTTGCTTCCTCATCAAGCATTTCAAATCAGCGTCATATTGCTTCACTACCTTTATCTTGTTGGAGCTTGATTCATCTGGATATTTCTAATAAATCTTAATAAAGCTAGATAACTCCCTCTAGTCTATAAAGTGCCATAACTCCCTCTATTGGACACACTAGGAATAACACATGCACATACTACAGTCACATATTGCACATATTCAGCAAGCGGGGCCATCCTTATCTGATGTGTGGCCCGGTGCGAGGTAGGGAGCGGGGCCCCACTCAGTCTGGCCTTTGTCCGGCCGCACCAGTTGCACCCCCCCTAAAGATGGCCCTGTCAGCAAGGATGCATTCATATAAATTGACAAATAAATTGACCTAAGTTATTTTAAATGCTTCCTTGGTGAGCATAAGAGCCTTTTTTTCAAAAACATTGAAGTCACATCCACCTCAAACCTTTGAATGATAATGTAAATAATTTCAGATTGGAATCACATTTAGAATCTGAGTCAGTTTTTGGAATTTTTACAGAAGGAGTTGATAACTAAAATGTACAATTACTACAGTTAAAGTTAAGAGAGGAATTGGAACTGAGATTACATTGTGTTGAAATGTAGTGGAGAAAAATAAATGTTTTTCTTGCTTGTCATTTGTTTGACTGATTATTCTGTGCTGATTACAGACTTCCAGAGCACAAAAGCACAACATCTGGGGCGGACCAGGAAATGACGTCATACTGAGGCAGAATCTCAGCCATCATGGTTCTTCTCTGTTGCAAAAATCACTCTTTCAGCATTTTAAGAGTTATGACACAATGTTGTAACCAGATATTTTTCTCAACATTTCCTCAGTCTCATGGAGTTTTTTTTTTTTTTTTTAAAGATTTTATTATAAATTATTTAAAGATTTTTAACAGTTCCTACTGTATCATTCTGTCTTTTCAACAGTGTAAATTATTAAATATCTTAAGCCAGCTCCTTAAAAGTATCAACTTTAAGGCATTACATTATTTACCTATTTTATGTTATTTATTTTAACATAAGTGTATTGGTTTTCAAATGATTTATGATTTTCCTATAAATCTCATCTTTAACTACAATCTATCCAGTACTGTGGGAAAAGCACTGTGTTGGAAAGGTGTGTAAAATTACCTCATACTGCATTAAATTGATTTAGACTGCAGCATTTAGAAGTTAAAAGTCTTCCTTTATCACATTTTATGTAGCCTACACAGTGGAGTCCTTGTTATTTGAGGACCATTTCAGATTAAATACAACTCAGTGTCCATGGAGAGAAAAAAATAAATTTCTCATCTCGAAAGTTGTCTACCATTTTGGGGGAAAATATACAACATATATAAATTGCGATTTAAATGAACTGATACCGAACCCAGATCGTTCCTTTAACAGGCACAAGTACATGGATGCAATACTTATATCAACCAAAGCACTAATGCGCTCCATCTGCTCCTGAAAATTGCATTCGCAAGAAAACAGCCTGTTAGTGGCAAAGTGGACAAAACAGGAAACTACTTGTAAACACTGTAAACTACTTGATGATTCTTCCCAGTCTGTATGTCAAGCTTTGACAGCTCAAAATCCTATTGCATTGCATTGTGTGTGTGTGTGTAGTCTTTGATCTCTTTCAGCAATAAGCTGATTAGGCCATCTCACAAGCAGCCCACACTCACTGGGGAAAGGCTAATTGGCTATAAGTAGAGGTCAAGGTTACTGGCTGTCCATGAGATAGAGAAGATATTATCTCTCACTTGCTTTCCTTCTTCTAGCTCAATGACTTTTTGACACTGGTACTGCACTTCTTAAAAGTCTGAACACTCGTCACAACATTAGCTTAGTCTTTTTGAGCTGCCTTTTTATCAAGCATCCTAATCAAGAAGGATCTGATAAGGATAAAACATTTTATTGAGCATTTTTTTTCTATTTGATTTTTTAAAAATAGAATTGTTTTATCAAATCCTTTTCAGTATTTACTACATTGCCTCGTCCACCATCTTGTATTTATTTCATCACTGTGCTCGCTGCAGGACATTTGTGACCCTGGACCACAAAACCAGTCTTAAGTCGCTGGGGTATATTGGTAGCAATAGCCAGAAATACATTGTATGGTCAAAATGATTGATTTTTCTTTTATGCCAAAAATCATTCGGATAAGATCATGTTCCATGAAGATATTTTGTAAGTTTCCTACTGTAAATATACCAAAACTTAGTTTTTGATTAGTAATATGCATTGCTAAGAACTTCATCTGGACAACTTTAAAGGCGATTTTCTCAATATTTTGATTTTTTTGCACCCTCAGATTCCAGATTTTCAAATAGTTGTATCTCGACCAAATATCGCCCTATCCTAACAAACCATACATCAATGAAAGCTTATTTATTCAGCTGTATGATTATGTATAAATCTCAATTTCGAAAAATGGACCTTTATGACTGGTTTTGTGGTCCAGGGTCACATTTTAGGATTCCCTACGCCACATTAGATATATATGCCCTTAGATCTAGACAAAAACAAGATATTTTGGAACAGACTATGATGCCTTAAAATGCTGGTAGACAGTTCACTAGGTTTTGGAACATTATCAGAAATCTCGCTCTCACTAGAGCTGTCAGAACTCTGTGTTTTGCTGCAGAGTGAGTGAATAGAGCCGGTGTGTGTGACGCATAGCCACTGTATTGATCTACACTGTGTTCTGAGAGCTCGATAGGCCTCTCTTTCTTTCCCATTCTCTTTTGTTGTGAACTCTGAGAATGGAGATCTTCATTTATAACTCCAGTGAGAGGCTCAATTATTTACTTCTGCCAGCAGGGGGAGTTTTACAGGGACTTTGGTGTTGTTAAAACTAAACAAAATCTGCTGAAATAAAATACAATGTACGTATTAGACAAAAAGCATAAACTTAAAAAACTTGCTTATTGCTAATACAAAACATTAGAAATGTTGCCCTGGCAGCTAACTGAATAACGTTGAAGTACTAAAATGACTAAAACTAAAACTGAAATAAAAATATATTAAAGCTAAACACAACTATTTTAAATGCAAAACAATAAAAAAACTATTAAAACTGAAAATATATATTCACAGACCCTACTAGTGTTGTTAAAACTAAACAAAAACTATTAAAAATAATGCTGAAATAAAATACAATGTTAGACAAAAAGCATAAACTTGAAAAACAGAGAAAAAAATTAGCAATGTTGCTTTGACAAATAATTAAAATAAAATAAGTTTTATTAGTCAATTTAAACAAACTGATTAAAAGTAGCTTAAAATAAAAAATGCAATATACATATTGGACAAAAAAACCCTGAAAAATGTTGAAGTACTAAAATCACTAAGGCTAAGACTGAAATAAAAATAAATTAACGGAAAATAGAAATATTTTAAAAACAAAAAATATAAAAACATCAAAAACTGAAAATATAAAATCTAATTCGAAATATTAATAAATATGAATATGATAATTTTATATTAATATTATAGTATATAAATAATAATAAATTAACACTGGACTGGGCAATAGTAGTGACTGAAGTGATGAAGTGTTCAATTCTCCTGAGAGATTTCTGTTTGCACACTGATCTGTCAGAATCCGTTGATATATTCAGACTGCAGTCCTGACTGCTGTGGGAGACAGAGATGACAGAAATGATACACTAACTCTCCTCAATCAAATACTAATGCACGCCCAAGTCTCACACCTATTTGCCTGTCTTGGACGCAGGACTGTCTCCATAGTGATAAAGGCTCTTGATGCGCACTGGGCCTTCATACAGCTTTTCTAATTTAGGAAGTGGAGAGGATGGAAGAGCTTTCTTTGAGTGTCTCACTCACTTTGCTTCCACTATATTTTTGTCTCTATGACAACATGACTCAAACAATATCTTTTTAATTTAGCTTTGTAACACTGGCAAGCTTCTGAGGTTTGAAGGGCGGCGTTTGTTTACTAAGCTGGAATAGAAAACCCATTGTGACTATCAACTAAAACGTACATTGGTGTAAACATGTCAGTCGTTTTAACTGGCCTCTTGAGGTTCATTCATAATTTATAGGCCTCTTATTTCCACCCAGAGATGAATGTGGTTATACTGAGTGTGAGATTCTGTTGCCTAACATTTGAGACATGTAGTTAAGTGAGGGTGTGTTACATGCTCCTAAACCTACCAAGGGTTTGCCGTTATGTCCAATTTAAGGTCACACATTTAGTACTTAAAGGGATACTTCACCACGCCAAAAAATTACAATTGTTATATTTTATATATATTATATTCACTACATATATATATGCACACTACCATTTAAAAGTGAGGAGGAGGTAAAACAAAATCTGCATTTTTTTGATAAAAACAGTATTTTATTTTACTAAATAAAATCCTTCAGAAATCATTCTGATATGCTGATTTGGGGCTCAAGAAACATTTCATGTTTAATATTTTTGTGGAAACCTTGATACATTGGTTTTCAGGAACTTTGATTAATTAAAAGTTCAAAACAACAGCATTTATTAGATTTTTTTTTGTAACATTATAGATGTCACTTTTGTTAAATGTAATGCATCCTTGCTGAATAAAAGTATCAATTTCTTTAACAAATCTTACATAAATATATACGTTTTAAATTTTCATTATTGCACATTCAAACATAATTGTTATTGAAGTTAATGAATACGTACTGTATGTAGTACATGTGTACTATATAATTTTGCTTAATTATATAATGATGATTTCTAATATTACTTAATTATATAATTATATATTTTTGAAGAATGTTATTAATAACACCTAATTTAGCGTTGTTATTTTGCCTCGATAAATTTTATATCGTTTTTCTCTGGCTGTCCATATGTAACACACCACACTGCAGCAGTTACATTGGCACGTCCACACTGTGATTTACGGTAATTATTCAGTAGTGGGCGGGATTACGCGGCAGTGGGCGAGATCTAGTGTGGGTGGCTCTTCACCACTGGCGTTCACTGCACTCCGAGAGGAAGCCTGAAGCGGACGCAAGACGCCGAACAGGTAAAGCACTATATTTCATTATAAACAGAAAGCCATAATATCGAGTTTAAACGGTCAGCATGATTTGCACATGTATATTTGCATATTCTCTGAAGTTTTCTGACACGTTGCTATTTCAATTTCTCTAATCCGTGCTTTTGAAGATGGTAATGGGACAGATAATCCTTATTGCTTGAGAAAGGACGCATTGTTCCATTCACTGCAATGGTGCTGATAGAGACTGCTTCAGATTGCTAGAATATATATAACAGTCCTTATTCCCTTTAGATACATTGCTTAACTTTTGAGAATGTGGGCCAACTTCATTTGATTCTCACAGGAGTACTGAAATTCTTTACTTTTGTCTGTTTAAAAATGCTTCTTTGTCCTGAAATCCCTTGATTTTGATGTTATCGTCTTTGTCTTTAAGGGAGTGTATTATTAATAAAACGAATCTGATCTGCATATGAAAAGGAGGAGACCTGGTCAAAGGCATGATTTGGTTTTGTCGCAGGAGAGATTTTGCAGTCCAGCAGAGATGGTGCTGAAACAACAGCTACCCAGTATTAAGCACCGCTGAGTTATTCTGCTCCTAAACATCCTCTTATTTTTTACCAGTGCTGATTTTGATGTCCTATTGTTTTACGTTTATGTCTCTGCTGAAATGTAGATCTATGGTAGCTGTTTGTGATTACCTTTGATCAGTGCGTTTTCCCCATCTTTAAACACCTGCCATCAAAGGTTATGCTGAAAAAGATCAGAATCAGTTTGTGCATTGCACACCATTGCCTTGAGACTATATAAAAAACTCCATCAGTGATGATGATGCTGTTTCTGATAAGACATGATGCATTCCTGCATTGGCAGTCTGCCGGCTCACGCTTATTCATGAAAACAGAGCTGTGAGGTTTAATGCAGCGCCCTACACTGGATGTCTGAGATCTGCGCAGTCCTTGTGTCTATATGTGTGAGACATATCTTAGAAAGTCCATTGGCATTCAAGTGTTAGCATGTCTACACGCCGCGCCACTGGTCAGATGCTTTGACCATCTGTTAGTAGACTGCTCTCTTCGTCAAATAGAACAGATGTTCAAAAGGAGACAAAAAGTTGGACCCTTGCATTCACACACACACACACACACACACACACATCCTGGTGGGGAATTTCCATTGACTACTGTTGCTTTTATACCGAGCTAATGATTTTTTCTGTTCATTCTATTAAACGTAACCCTCACACAAACCTTTATGCATTTTTGAGATTTCATTAAGATGCTATTTAGTCTATGTTTAATAAGTAATTTCTTCGTAAGGACTCTTGTTGGTTCCCATAATGTAAGTCATTTTCAGGTTTTCTTAATTTATGCGAAACAGGACCCACACACACAATTGAATTAAAAAAATTTGAAAACAGCAAATATCTTAGCTATATTCTATAACAGTAACTCCCACCCAATAATACGTGTACTGCAGTTCACCCAAAAATGAAAGTCATCTTTTGCTCTCTCTTGTGTCGTTCTAATCCTGTATGACTGTCTTTTTTCTGTGGAGCACAAATTTGGATATTTTGGTTATATATCCTAATGTTGTTTGGAACATTTTTCAAATAACTTTTTTATGTTTTGCCAAAGAAAGACGACATGAGAGTTGGTAAATTATTATGATAATTGATGATATCATTTTTTTAGTGAACTATGCCTTTAAGCAGGTTTTAGGGGGTCTTTATTTTGGTTTATTAAACCTGTAAAAACAGGAAAATTAATCAATTAAAATAATAGTGTTATTATTATTATAATGAATAATTATTAACGGTAATTATTATTAAGCATGGCACTAGAAATGCCAAGGTCATAGGTTCAATTCTCAGGGAATGCAAGGACTGACAAAATATGTTCCTTGAATGCAGTAAAATTATTTTTGGGATAAAATCATCTGCATGTGATTTATGTGATTTACCTCATGACTTTTGTGGTTCCTTTTTAAAGGAATTTGTGTGAATGCCATTTTAGTAGAATATACAGTGAGACAATTTTCACCCACACTGTTGATTTTTTTATTTAAAATATTAAACATAATACAAAATTATATCCAGTGTTATATCAAGTGAGAGTTAAAGAACACATTTCTTGTTGATGAAGTCGTCCTCGAGCTGTACTGTAGGGGTGCATTGAGCATGCAAAACAAGTTGTGTACTGTGCAAACAAAGGGATCCCAATTACATTATTGCAACCTTTGTGCAAACAATTGCTTCGCCTCCACTTCAGTGAGTGTTATGATTACATTAACATTTTAAAGAGAATGGTCTTTGTCCTTGTCTGGCCGTTTTCTGCTTATCCGGGCTCAAAGAGCACCTTTGTATGACAGCCTGTCGTAGTGGAGTGGCTGTTGTGCCCTGGTTTTACCTGTTGTGAACATGGCAAAGGGCTGGATATTGGAGCACTACTCAGTTTCAAACCATTCTTGTAAGTGAATTATGTAAAAAAGCACTAGCTGTGTTATTCAGTAGAGAGAATGAGTCATATACTTGGCCTGATTAGATCTGCATGGTATGATGTTGTGATCATTGATATCCATTGGCCGTGAAAGCTCTGAAGACGCAGGTATGCGTAACGCATTTCTAATGAAATGGTAGCGAGGCACTAGGGATGTAACGGTATGAAAATTTCTTATCACGATTATAGTGACCAAAATTATCACGGTTATCAGTATTATCACGGTATTGTTAAAATGTGCTGGAGATGTTAAAAAAGTACCGACACACAAATCACTTCAAGTTTTATATTTAAAAATCAAGAAACAACTAATAAAATGACTTTTTGTTTGCATAATCACTAAAACAATAACATTACCAATGATGTTCGGATTTTAAATGACAACTTAACTGACAACAGTTTAATAGCATGTTGAAATATCTAACGTAAATGTTCAAATAAAGCTTTGAAAAAGTTTCATAAAAAGGTAAACCTCACATTTCAGCCTTTAAATAAAGAAAAGATACGTCAAAATGATAATTGATTAATAAATGATTATATGCATTTTATCTGCTCCATAAATAATTCATACCTTATTGTTTAAATGTGTAAAATCTACATAAGCTTGTTTTTCATCAACCGGTCAAAATTTACAGCAGGGCATGCAAATTCGGTCCGTTTTTGGCCAGACAGAAACTGCACACAGACTGAATGTAAATATAAGTCTATGTAAATCCACTCGCTGACAGCAGGTGGCGCTCTGAAAAAAAATGCAAGTGATCGCGCTGGCGTCTCTATGTCCTGCAAAGCGCGCTTCAGCTTCCACTCTCTGCGCAAACTATTGGATACAGCGCACATTTATCTAGGTTTTAACGTTTAAACATTGTTATATGCTTGAACTGTTTTATATCTATAGATTTTATTTTAGTCAAGTCGTGATGATTTGAGAAGGCTAAATTGATCAAGCATATGCTCACTGTCTGCCGCTGGCCGCTTGGTCGTTACTTTAAATGCGTAACGTTAATTAGGCTATGTGAGTACTGCTCATGTCTGAAAATAATATATGAAAAACTAAATTATTTTACATAAAAACATTAGGCTATAGCTTATATTTATTTAGTACATTTTTAAATTAATGTAAAAACTAAAATGAATTGTAAAACTGAAAGTAATTTTTTAAAATTGTGTTCAGCATGGTGGGCCGCATTTGAATTCGTGACGGGCCGCGGGTTGAGAACCACTGGTCTAGAACATTCCCTGAGTCACGCTCCGCTCAGGTCCTGACATGATGAGTCCTCGGGGAGCCTTTCACGACCATGTCTCGAAGCTACTGTTGAACTCAGAGGAATCTGCTTGCAACAGTGTATGGTGATACTCATACAAAGGATGATACCATTCAAAATGTTATATTGGGAAAAAAGTGGGAAACAGTTCATATATAAACAGCCTTACCAATAGAATAGTGCAACGCTGCCCGTCCAATTTTTCAGTGCCTTTGTTTCCAGAAGTATTTTTGCATTTACATTCATTATTTCTTTTGCATTTAATAGTCTTCGTTAAAGTGTTATAAGCTATTAACCAAATAAAACCCACTACAAGGTGAATCACAACATTACAAAAGTTGTTTTGAGGCAAAAAAGTATTTGAAAATCAGATAAAATGACAAAGGTACAAGACTGTGATGGCTTTGATTGCTTTAGAGCAAGCAGCTTTACAGTATTAAACATGAAAAAGTGTCAATGTTGCTTGCAATTAGAACTACAACTTTAATTTCTACTATAAAGCAGCTCTCAAGTGTGTTCATGTTTTTAACTTGCTGATGTCTGACCTTGACGAACTGAACAGAAGAAATGAACCGGAGAAGATTTCCATGTCAGAGAATGTAGAGCCCCACAGCACACCTACTTATTACATAATCACCACAGACCAATGGTAGTTTGAAGGTGTTTACAAGCCAGAGTTCAACACGATACCTACCTCTAACCGTACTAAACCTGCAGCAAAAGTAAGGAAAGGAGTCACGTTTCGAGCATGGTAATTATATGAGCTGCAAGCATCATGGTTACACAAGGACACATCCAATTTCAATTATGGGCCTAATAAATATCTATTAACTACTTCACATTTATAAAAAAAAAAAAGTCTCTCCAAGCTGATATGTGATGGGAAAAAGGTGAAGAATGGGATTAGATAAAGGCAGATTCGGACTTGGGTCGGTCTCGTCAAAAGCTAAATCCTAATCTTTACTCCCTACACCACAGTTCTTGTTAGCAGACTGGTTTCTTTTGTAATCATGTGTGGCTCAACCAGATAGTGGTTGACAGAATTGGTGTAAATAGCCTTTGCCAACAAGGTGGGTTAATTAGTGTAGACACTCTGTTCTTTTATAGATAATATATGACAATTTTGGTTTAAACATTGCATGTACTACAGCATCTTTGAATTCAAATGTGTGCAAATATAAATACACTGAAACAACAGTTCTGTTCTTGGTAAATATATATATATATATACACAGGATTTTGTGTGGGCGTGCTACCAGCATTGCTG